TATTAATTATTTTATGTTATAAAACTTTATTTGTATTTTTTTTTTAAATTCTATAAGTAATTTAATGGTACCGAAATTTATAATATAGTTATTTTTATTTTTATAAATATTATATATTTCTTTATTTTGTAATTATAATATATATATATATATATATATATATATATAGAAGAACTCAAATAAAATTAAAAAAATACAAAAAATACATATTAAATATAAAACCCAAAAAAGAAAAAAGTAAGAAAAAAAAAGTCTATCTTCTCGTTTCCCATCCCAAACCTGCTCGTCCTCAGCCATTCACCATCTCCGCCGCGCCTCTCTCTCCTCCATGATCGAAGGAATGGTTCAAATCAACGACACATTCCTCTTCAATTGAAGTCTTCTGCTTTTATTCCGCCATTAATTGACGAAATTTATTCTGCCACTTCTTCCCCATTCTTCTAGGTTTCGGCGAGAAAAAAAAATCGTCAAATTAAAGAACTAAGGTTTGGGGTTTCAAGGACTTGTTTCTAGAGATAATCATGGCCTCGCTTCCCCGGTAACTTTTTAGATGACATTAACTGACAGTGTCGCCGTGTCGGTGACTTGGGGTTGCTACAGAAGGGGAGGAGCGGTGAACGACAGAGAAGTCAGAATAGTGGTTTTCGGTCATGAACGGAGCCGACGAGAAAAGGATAGGGGAAAAAAGAATGTTACTGTGTGTTTTGAGTTTCAATGGGAGAGAGGGCTTTACTGAAACTATGAGGGACTGAATTAAAAATTTTGAAAACTTCATTTGGGACTTACAAAATTTTTGGGGTGAATGTATAATTTTCGAAATTTATGATTAAGAGGGTATTTATGTCTTTTCAAGCTGAAAACACACCCCCAGTCACATAAGTGGCGAGTGCATTGCACGATCATGGATTAAGGGGTTTCATGGCGTTGACTAAATTTCATAGGGGGGTAAATGCTAATACTTTTAATACAAGGACTTTTCCGACAATTAGACTTAACACAAGGGTACCGCTTGCTAAAACCTCTTTAGTTTATATATGAAGCTGGGCATTTTACTAATAAAGTGAAAGTGCGGGGCTTTATATTTAATTACTAAAAATAGGCATATTTCCTTCCTATATATTTCGTCCATTTCAATTGATAAAAAAAAAAATATTCCTTCATTTTCTTTCTATCTACATTCTTCGCCAACCGTCGTCAACAATTCGCTATCAAGAATCCGCTATCAAGAATTCGTCTGACCCGACCCATCGTCGAACTTCTTCACGGTGAGCCAGTTTAGTTCTCTTTCCGACTGCGGAACACCAAAATTTTGTCGAGTGATTTTGAATTGTTGAATTTTAGATTTCAAAAATATCAAAGTTTTGAAGCCAACAAGTATTTTTTATCTGTTCGATCAATTTCTTGGTTTGTTAAGTAGTAGGTGTGAAGATCGATCAAATTGTTAGACGTAGTGACAGGACGCATTCATCATGTTCGATGAAATGTCTCAGTCAGTTTTTTATTCTAATTTTAGTTTTTTTTTTGTAGATACGGGTGAAAAGCAAGTCAAAGAATGGAACCGTCAAACAATGAAGGCATTATGTTCAGTAAACACGAATTGGGGAGGTTTAGCCTCGACAACAGGTTTGCACTTTCTCACTTTTAAATTTAATTTTTTAATGTCGGTTTGGCTACGAAAAGTTGAGAATCGTAAGTATTTCTTGGGGTTCGTTACTTCTATATATATGCTAAATCATGATCTTAATTTGTTTCTATGGTAGAATGGTGCTAGTGTGCTCCGGTGAAACTTGCTCGCAGCTTTGTAGGCACTTATGTGGTACTACGGAGTTCGATTTTGCGAAGGCAACATATATTACACCAGAACTGAAGTTCAAAGGCTGCGTGATAAT